GTCAATGCTCTAGTACAGTGGTCTACAAGAAACGTGGTGCATCCTTCGAAATTCACAGTAACTGAATAGATTTGAAGTGAGCTTCAGAGAGGAGGAGATAACCCGCACACCTCAATAAATCTAAATCACCGGAATCCCCGTGTAGAATTAGTGCATATATCTAAAGTACGTGAATTTGTAAATGAGAAAATTAAAAATGTAAAAGCTACTGCAACAGTACAAAAACTGACGAGACTAGGACATGCAAAGGTTCAAATGTTAGAGACGTTTCACGTGCACAAACGTCCATTTCAATGGCTACGTGTTCCTCCAAACAGCCCTGCGAAAGCATTTGCGCAACATCAAATCATCCAACATAATCTGCTTGATTAACATAATATGAAAATCAAAATTCACATGTGCTTGAGAGAACGTGTATATTATGCTTCATGCCAGATAGTAGGGCCCAGAATAGAGAGTGTATTTAATATCCCAACGAACTGACTTGATGTAGTTATAATCTCTCTCTCTCTTTCTCTTTCTCTCTCTCTATATATATATATATATACATAGAAACAGAGAGAGAGAAAAATAAGACTTGGTAGAGTTCTGAGTCTCCTTCGGGTGGTGGGGAGGGTGGGAACTAGTCCCCAGAGCCCGATGTTCCCTTCAAAACCAACTCAAGCCTGACATATTGCCAGGGTTTGCTAGCTTTGTTCCTCTCCTGACGTGTGAGTATATCTGCATATGCATATATGGCTCCTCACCTTTTCACTACCATAAAACGATTGAGAACATCGCTATGTATCCAGTATTTCGTTCGTAAAGACTTGCCTTCCTGATTTATACGAAGCATTCTTCTTAGCTGCCTGGTGGAACATGGAGACTCTCTATGTGAGTACAGAGAACTGTGCCATCTTTGTGAGGGGTCTGAAGATTTAAGTGGATCTTACCAAAACTCAGCTTGAAACAAGAACCCATTGATTGAATGGAGCTCAATTATTCATAGATTCTCAATTATTCATAGGTTCTTTCGGGGCTAGATCTTCAGGTGATTTCAACAGAGATCGTGACCACCGTTGACCTGTTGGTAACGGCGAGCGATGCAACCATAAAGTGTAAAGACAAGTGTTACGTTCAGATGTCCAAAACTGGCCTCGTCAAGCCAGCACTGAACAGATTCCGACTTACGTAAGCAGCTGAATTGAGAAAAGAAAATTCGAGAGGTCGTACAACAGTCATGAGGACATCTGCAGAAGCGGTTTTCCAAGAAACTCTTCTTCAAAAGTGCACAAGTGGTTGACAGGGGTCCATTATGTCAATTTCAAAGTCCACCCGGACGTCCCAAACACGTAGTTCAACTCCCACTTGTGGTCTGTCGATAATAATAAATTCACCATAAATCAAACGTACCTGCATTGCGAGGACGACACACATGGATGTTCCCTATTACTTATAGACATTGTCTTGACTAAGATTCAGCCATCGACACCTCTGTAAAGATGCAGTAGATTCTATGCTCAAACCTGAGGTTAAAGTTGTTATATGTTCTGCAAAGTTGTCATGTACATCTGACTTGTACCTGTGCTATATGAATGAAAAAGTAAATACATTGTGAAGCTCTCGCATAGATTTGTGAGAATCTGAGGCAAAAGATTTAATAATTGTATTAAATCAGACCTTGCCAACATACCCTGGAGCTCCGCCGATATACCTGGTCTTCCTCTGAGCACGATCTACAACCCTCAGCACTGTCAGGCGGAATACATGTCGGTTTCTGTTTCAAAAGGGTATAGGGAAGATGTATTATATTCCACTCTGCAAGGATCCTTGTCGATTATGTTATCTTATGGTCACGATGTTGGTCGATCAGGTTACAAAATCGGGATCGGGTCAGGTTTCTTACTATCAATAACAGGCAAGACCTATCTCATTTGAGCTTGTGGCGTCATACCCTAGCTGTTCAATGCTCGACTTGGTCCGGTTCTACTGAGAGACTGTAATCATTGAATCAGGATCATTAAAACAAGAGACGGGATATAGATTTGCAATCGTGACCTCTGTTGGTCATTAAAATGACTCCCTCGTTGGAGTTTAATGAACCTTTAAGTCATGCCGGCCTTCCATCTCCCATCTGAGCTTGTTCACATGTGTCGGGCAGATTCTGATTTTAAACTGGTTAATCTGCATGGCTATAGTCGATCGGATGTGATGCAAAATCTATTGGTTCCACAAAGAACCCTTCTCAGGAGAATATTTTAAGTCGGACCAGAGAGAATTGACCAATGGCTGTCCATAAGACCCTGAACAACTTGATGCATGTACAGCCCACACACTATGGAGGTGTTGTCAGAGTGGTGGTCCTACGGAAAGAAGCCCTTGAGCCTAAACCCAGCGGTGACATAAGCCAGAGTTATTACTTCTGCATGCAAGGATGAACTCTTAAGTCCACACATGCCTCTGGGAGTCGTGGGAGAATGAGGCTTCATTGGAGGTGAAACACGTATTCATTATCATGTACTGATGTCGGAACCGCAATTGAGACTGTCTGCCAGTTGACTCATGAACATACTAGACACCTTCTTGTCATTTTACGTCGTGAACATTAATAGCGGAATGATTCGACTTCTTCCAATATCTTCTTCATGATGAATAAGATGCCAATGAATCGGTACTGAGTTGAAGATCAAACTTTTGGAATCCAACTCATCTCTTGTGGAAGAGAATCCACTTTAATAGCCTTCGTACAGACAACCTTGATTCGTACGAGACTAAAGCTTCAGACATCCCGGAGCAGAAAACTGTATTGGCAGGAATCTGGTCTTCTCTGCAGAGTAGGCAAGTAGTCCTTGTTGGTATTCCTGTAAGATTCCAGAGAATCGGAATGTAGAATGTAGATGATTCGAAGGCTTGAACGTCGGAAAGTGTCGTCGACGTGCTGATGCGAACAACCTGAAACTGACGACACAGCGTCATGCTTCGGAGATTCGCCGCAGGTGACAACCGAAAGCAACTCTCAAAAGGTTTCTTAATATGATTTGTAGCTCGTCGGATCCTAAGTTTTGTTTACTCTATCTATCTTCATGGCTCTCGATAAGCATTCTTGAATTCATACGGTTAATCTGGCACGACACTCTGATTTCACGTGCGGACGAACCCGGTCATATTTCTAATATGATCAGATGGCGGGTCATATTTGCTTCAGCCTGCATCTATCAATCGTATCTCCACATGGCATCGATAAGAGATTAGAAGTCTCTGAATGTGGAGACAACAGGCGACAATGTTTTGTTAGACTTAAAGATGGATGAATGTCTGGACAGATAGAAAGCAGAGACATTTGACGACGCCCCACGAAACCAATTGCAAACTAATTCGCGTCCGATATTCATCTCATTGGCCGACCCAATGAAATATGTCGAAGTTTGCCAGCGTGCATTTCGAGTTCAGACTTGCAGGACAGTGTATCTACTGTATAAAACGTAAGACCCAGGAATTAAATCTGGACAACAAAGTCGAAAACGAGAATCAGTAGCTCAAATGCAGAACATCAACCTCATCAACTCTACCGTGAAGGAGGACGCAACGTACAGAAGAGAGAAAAGGAGCTTATCTAGCGCAAATCGGAAGAAAAGCAAGACACTATCACAAGCGTACACCGTCGAATTCATGCAGCTCAAAACCATATATAACAGTCGCTTTTGGGCTCAGATGGTTTGCCGAGGTGCGAAGCTTCAGCTCGACCGGGAATAAGTGGGGAACTTCACTGTCATCACTGAGCTCTCGCTGTAAAGCATGTCGACAAGCTCGACCGTGGCTTACGGCTTGCAATTAGAGAAATTATTAGAGAAATCAGACGCTCGGAGGTTGGCTGTCGTTCACACAAGTGCAAGTGCTCAGCTGAGCTCGGAAGACCAGGAACTAAAAGGCAGACTTTAATCTCCGAGTAGGATCCCAAGTAATCGCAGGGACGACTTTCATATAGTGATCGGAGACACTGGAATCTCGACTCCAGCTCGACGCCTGCAGTGATGTAGAATCACCTCGACGTGAATCTTGTCGGAGGGTATCATTAAGATTCGCGCTTTCGCCTCATGTATTCTGATTAGGCCGGATCGGCGCAAAAGCACTGCACTGGTGGCTCAAGATCAGCTCAATGAAACGTCTTTCGGTCCGAATCATTAAGCTGAATACGAGTCGTGGGCTAGTTGTGGCATTTATCCATCAAGAATATTTCCCTGCCTTAAAGGGTCACGTGCACATTTTGTTGCACTGGCAGTTTGAGCTCTTGGCCGAGTTCGTCCTGCCCACGTCCCTGTAGGAATCGGGCGATCGGAATCCCTGTAATCTGCTGAAGACAATGGAGCACCGGGGTCCATCGTTAGGAAGTGCCTTGTCCCTTTCGGAACTATTTGCAGGCGGATAGAAAAAACAAGGACTCGCTTTTGGGGCCACAAGACCGGAGAGCCTCTCGAGCTTTCAGTTACAGTGAGGCCACTTGATCTTATCTGATACTCCAACGAGATGCAAGAATCAGTTGCGAGAGTAAATCTGCACAGTTCGCAGTCTGGTGGGAGCAAATTCACTGGTGATCCAGTATTCTATATACAAAACACCGCGGGCCCGTGGGGGACCTCCACATGGACATGAGCAGTGCGCTCGATGCACTGACATCGGATGTCGCCGGGGGTGGCGGTGTGCGCTAGCTGCTGGTTTGGCCTGCAGATGGAAAAGTATGGTGGATGCTCAATAGGCTGAACATGTCAACACTATAGTCCGGAATCAAAGGCAGGGAACCTGGTTGCCTCAATCGACGCCAGGTTTGCACTACTTCGTGAGCCGTAATGCTCTCGTGAGCTGAAGCGTGCGCCAGCCAAGCAATAGGCCAGCTTCAGTTTAGCTGGTGACAATAGTGGCTCATCGATCCTCATGATTGAGCTATGGCTCTAGCCAGCTTCCGAGCATGCATAAGCAAACATTGCCTTCATAAAGGTCGTCACGCCAACTCTCTTCCATGTCCAACATTCGACGCACAGGCCCTCCCACTCAGCTTTGGGCCTTCGTCGAACTCCACACAGATCCACCACGTCCTGCAGCTACATTATATAGCTACATGACGGCCAGATCTATTGGTACTCTGTGATCCGCTTAGAACTCTGCTCTTAGCTCCAGCTCCCTCTCTGCTCTGGTCTTGGCTGGAGTGCTCTAGATCGAGAACTGGTGCAATCTGGTGTGGATTAGTTTCATAATTTGGACCAATACTTGCGACACGGCCCCTCCCCATCTCAGAGTTGTACTCTAGCTCGCTTCTTTGGCTTCTTTGGCTCCTTTAGGCTCCAGATCCTCATTATACATCACACCGGCCAGCAGTTCGACACCGGTGCTCGTCGAAATCACTAACTTCCTTTTGTAAGTTCTCAATCTCTCTCTCGCATTGTGCCCCTCGAATTCCTTCTCTCTCTCTCTCAGAGATTGTGCCCCTCGAATTCCATCTCTCTCTATATCTCTCGCATTGTGCCCCTCGAATTCCTTCCTTACATACTCCCATACGCACAATCGCCATCACGCGGCCTCGATTATGATAAGAGAGAATCGTTCTTCGAGGATTTCTGTGCAAGAAGTGCATGAAGTGAGTCATTCGTCACTCGGTTCTTTCATGCTTGTGCTTATTTTTCTGCTGGCTGCTCGCGCTTGACGGTGTCTAAAGCCTGGGAGCTTCATTTCGTTCCGGTAAGGCATTCGATGTGTATAGAATAGAATCGGTAGCTCGTTCGATTGTGTTAAGAACGTGGAGCTGGAATGTCCGAGCGAATTCGAGTCTCGAGAGGAGCTCAGTAGACTGCCCGTAGGACGATTCATGCCCTCGAATTGTTGTTGCTGCTGCTGACGTGTCGAGGGTGGGGCAGGTGACAGAAGCAGAAGCAGGCACCATGCCGGGAGAGAAAGTGTACCCGGGCAGCAACGGCAGCGCCACGCCGGAGCTGTCGCCGCCGCCGGCCCGCGACTTCTACAACATCTCGATCAAGGACCAGGTTTACGGCACGGCGCCGGTGGTATCCTCGTACCGCAACGAGAAGAAGAGGCGCAAGTGCAAGTGCCGCAACCCGTGCTACGCCGGAAACTGCAACCCATGCCGCTGCTGCTGGAGCTGGCTGTGCACGCTGCTGGTGCTCATCGTGGTAGGTGGCGTGGTGTTCTACCTCGTCGTTCGCCCGAAGATCCCGGACTTCGAGGTGACCGACTTCCGTCTCACCGGCCTCGACCAGAGCCTGACCACGCAGCAGCTCACCACCGTCAGTGCCGTCACCATCCGCTCGCACAACGGCAACAACCGCCTCGCCTTCGACTACAAGTCGCTGCAGGTGCGCGTGCTCACGCAGAATGCGTCCGTCAGCGTGGGCGACGGCAGCATCCCGCCGTTCTACCAGGGCACCGGCGAGACCGTGAACCTGGTCGGCAACTTCAAGGCCACGCCCATGGCCATCGGCAAGGACACGCAGGCCACGCTGACCAAGGCCCAGAGCACCGGGAACCTGGCGTTGCAGGTCAACGTGGACATCAAGGCGCGCCTCGAGCTGGCCTCGGCCAAATTCATCAAGCTGAAAATCAAAGTGCGCTGCAGCATCGCCGTCAATCCCAAGGTCACCGTCGGCTCGCAGATTCTCAACAAGAACTGCAATTATAAGGGCCGTCCCTACGTTTGAATTGCCCGTCTCCATCTCCATCTCCTCGACCAGCCTCCCGATGATGCCATTCGACTCGTCTCCTGAGGCCGCCTGAAGCTTCGCGCGTTCCTGGCCCGATCGATCCTGAGGTCCTCCCACGACCCTTTTCTCGCTGATCGATTCTGCAGCGTGATCGATTGATCCCGATCATCGCATGCACCCCGATCGAAAATGAATTGCGTGGGTATGCATTGTACCCGCGGCGCTTGACTTATGACCTCAAGCTTGAAATTTACATTGAATTTCAGTTTTCTAAGCGCTAGACAGGTTCTGAGCGCCTGCTTCCAACTTTTTATGACCCGTCAGTACTGAAGCTCAGGTAGATATTGTCGCAATTCGATAGTTTCTGATGTATTACATTCTTCAAAGCATAAGGATATGGAATCGGTGTGTTCTCCGATTTCGGTCCAAGGTTGTACAAACAGCAATAAGATGGGGACTCAATCCCCCTGACATGACAACTTCAATTTGATTCTGAGTTCGATCATCACCGTCACATGTGGGCCTTTTTCTTTATATCTTTTCTCCAGATTTTCATGTTTGAGAACTGGCTGCACTTTAGCTTCCCCACTTTATCTCAACCTCATGCGCGTTAGTCATTCATCGGTGCAGCTGGCCTCGTATTTTTGTTGGGCCCAAGAATCATTGCAGGGATTATTATTTCAGAATGTTGGCTCCTTCGTTCTGCTCGCAATTGGCTCGAGGCCCTCTCACGTGGACAGCGGACTCTTCTTCACAGCATCATAAATTAGTTGAACATCGCTTGAGCTCAAGTGCTGATTTCAACTATGCCGTGAATGCTAGAATGCTAGAAGTGGCTTTGTTCTCGCGGTCGAGTGCTCCCAAACTGAGTCGAAATTGTATCCCTCCACTGCTTCGTATACAAACTGATCTCGGTTCATGGTTAAAGTCCTTACAGAGCCATCGCAGTCCGTGTCCGCTCAGCCCGAGTCAAGATGTGATTGGTGAAGCTCTGGACGATGACTATACTTCACGACAGTCCTCGACTCCGAGCCGGGGGGAACAATTTATTTCCACCGGGTCGTATGGGACATGCTTATGTAATGTTGATCACCTAACTCTGTGCCTTGCTGCTGGCTGATAGATCAGATGCAGGCATGAACTATTACTCTTCAACTAGCCGGCACCATTCCTATACTTGCATACATTTTCAATTTTAGCTGAGGAACTCAAAGAGCATAGTGGTTTATCAGAACCTCGTTCCGTCCAGAACTATAAGCTCATTGCAAAATCCACTAAATTTCCGAATCCGCTCAAGAGTTTCATCTCTTGAGCACGTACGACACGCGTTTTCTTCTCAAAAGTTGTAGTTTGAGTGTTTTGAATATCTGCGTGAGTTGAGTGAAACGATTCCTTGGAGATGTTCTGCATTACCAGAAAGGCTCAGGTGAGCAGGAAAAATGGGGTGCAGCAAATAGGTTCTCTATGTGACTCGAAAGAAATGTGAACGACCTGTCCGTTGACTGAGAAGAAAATAACTCATAAAGGTTCAATAAATTCCAGCAGATCGAAGGTCCACTGTCACTATAGGTTCAAGCAGAGACGAGATCTAGACATGGCTACTTAAACCTCTCACCGTGCAAAGTCCCTCATAGAAGAATATCGGACAAGGAACAAACGCAATACACCGATGAGTTTATTTTCATCTCTTTACCATTCTTGTGCTAAAATATTCTGCTAAAACTAAATATCTCTCTGATCCGCCGGGAACGTCTGCTGTAACTCTAGCTGGTTGAAAACGAGAGACTAATTTTGAGCCTCCAGCGATGGAGGACATCGAGCAAGGAAGTGCCCATGGGCAGTACTATACAGATCGTCAGAGCACATCAAATGATCCAAGCAAGTGGTGGGGTTTATGAATATCGGAACCAAAAGGTACAGAGCTGAACATCATGTCAGTGAGCTGCGAGGGGATTTATCGCTGTGACTTTTGTCTCCGGGCATACGGCCGCTACAATATTCTGTAAATAGAGCAGAACCTCTCCCACTATCTGATGAGTCGCGTCCTCCGATTGCCTGCCGGCATTTCCGCTCTCCTTGTGAGCCAGAATCTCCGATTTCTGGGCAGTTCATGATGCCCGCATGACTATACACAAACAAACCACCGCCATAGCTGGCCGGATTGTGGAGAACACAGTCGTGACAAAGTTTTCAAGTGGCAAGTCCAAGCTCTAGGTTTAGAATAATAGTCGGTCCTATAGCTGCGGGAAAATCGTAATTAACACATCAACGATAGAACTGTTGTGATGTTCTCCTTCACTTGGCACTTTCGCTCTGACCCGTGCAGCCGAAGTCAAGCCCGTTTCCCATGATGGAGCGGTCCGATCTTTCGTCCATTGTTGTCTAGTATGATAACGTGAGAAAATATGGCTGCAGTCATTTTTATAGAGATTGTGTAGCTCCATAGAAGCTCACATGGCCTGGGTATCAAGATGCCCCGAGACGACGAGTAGAATACAACCCTGTGAATGCTGTGTGTTCTTCTGGCCTCAAGCTCGGAGAAAATTTTCCTCTATGATGCGACTCCAGTTAGCATTTTATGGCACATCCTCGTTCACGTTCTAGCTCGAAGCTCACATGTTGAACACTGCTTGTTACAGCAGTGAAAATTTCCTCTCACGAGATATAATCAGCATTGAACTGGGACTCAGAATCAGTCGTGAAAGAGTTGATCAAATTCCGTGTTCTGCTCTGTTCTATGCCTCTACACTTACATCTGTGAACGTGAAGGCCAGAGCAATGACCATGTGTTCAATATCTCAACTACTAAGGTTTGAAGTCTGTGTGTCATGAAAATCGTGAGCCACGTTAGCAATTTGGCTTCCCTTTTGTTAAATTCCCACCCCTTTCTCACATCAACGTCTTAGAGAGAATTTTGAAGCGTTCTGCACCTTATTGAGCTTGACTCTCACATGCACCTTGACTGCCCACGCAGCTCAACACTGCTCGGTAAAGTAGTCCCTCTCAGAGGTTTCCACTCTGATACGTGCCATCTGATTTGTGGCATTTGTCACGTGGAAATTCTGTCTCGGTTGTAAATTTCTTCAAAACAAACGGACGGATACACAATCGATCTATTGGGATCTAGATATCTCGCTCTCTCCGGTATCCCTCGAGGCAGCAGCTTCAAATCTGTCAGGAACTCCGATGCATGTTGAGAATCCACACGATCGATCCACTATGTGGATCAACCGTGATTAGCCTCATTCATGCCTGGGTCTATTTGAGCAAGTATCTCCAATCCATATCAGACAGTTTGCCAAAGGTGAGACTATTTCTGCAGCTAATGGAGCCACTTTAGGGACTTGTAGCATGAAGGCTTGAGAGCAAACTGCGGACGAGTGATTTAATTGCAGAAAATCGGAACCATGCCTACCGCGGTCAAAGCTGCTTCAATCTGTCATAGAAAGGAAAGATAACTCAAATATCCTAGAGTTTGCTTTGTAGCTGGACAGCCACAGTGTTATGGTACTCGAAAGGTCAAACATCACACTAAAATCCACTAGTTATCAACTCAGTATATTCCTTCATGACAATAGCGTGTCATGTATGATCATCTTCCAATTTCTTCATTAGTTTGTCCAGTGTCTTACAGGTAAGTTTCATGTGCATCCGAACAATACCTGTTTTTAGTGAAGTGGATAGAAAATGCTAGCGGCTGACGTTAAATTAACATCATGGAATGCAGAATCGAAGATGGATCGCTTAACTGATCCATGCATTTCAGCTAAGCTACATGCAAGTATGCAGTTTAGTGTGAGGAAAGTTGAACCCTTCACAAGAATTTTCTTTTTCATCAGTGCGGTTTGCTCAGTTGGATAGACACGTTACACGATAGAATCTGAAGAGCATTGTAACGTGGAGGGGCAGGAACGAGGATGTGTATTTAACAGATGTATTTGTTCCATCATGAAGTTTTTACAACATCATGATATTGAAGGCTATCTGTTCCATGTCCTCACAACCAAACATCTGAAACTCCGGCTATGCGTGCAAGAGTACCGAATCCTGAGTCCTGAATCACGTGAGAATTTAAGACTATTATGACATACACATTTTAATTAGATTTAAGTGTATACTGTGACAAAACATTAAAAATAACCTTAGGAATTATTTTGATATTCTCTTAAATTGTGTGTAATCCATTATCACGACACTATCCTATGACCTCCGTAATTCTGACCTTGATTAAGATCTCGAGTTCGCCCACCATTATAGGCTGATATAATATTGACACACATGTTGGATTCAGTTAAGCAATAAAGATGATGAATATTTTCCTAGTTTGCATTTGCAGGAGTGTGAAGCTTTTGATCCAAGCAAGATAACCATAGAGCAAGTTCCGAAAATTAGGACAATCAAATCGGGCGACTGGACTTGCACAAGCTCGGTGAAGAAGTCTTTAATGTACATAGTAATGACATAAGGAAGAAATAAATACTTTAACTTAAACCATGGATACAGGCAAAAGAACAATGACATATCCGGTCATTGTTCTGGCACTGAGATTAGGTGATCATGTACTGCGAGACACGAATCTAACTTAAAGCCATCAATTCAACAGCAAGCACCTATGAAAACAGTAATAAGCGATGCAAGAAAATAAATAAATCTTTTCACTCAGGTGAGAGAAATGAAGTCACAGTCTGTTTTAATCAATATTTTTTTGACCTGCAAGGCTTGTAGTAGATGCCTGATATGCATTTGTACAATGTTCATCCATAGTAAGTAGAAGAGTGCTCATCAGGAAAAAAATACTGATTAGTTACTGCATTCTATATTCTCCCAAAGTGAATATCATCTACTCCGTTTCCAACGGAAAATTGGTAAGTCAACCGGTGCTATTCTCTTTATTGAAATAAAAATGTGTGCATGGTGTGAGAAGAACCAGACAACGGACTACATTTAGACCACCTATATATGTATATACCCACGAGAATTTTATCGCAACGACTAATATCCCTTGGATCCTCAAATCTACATGCAGGCTCAGTCACACTGTTTCCAACATCGAGCCCAAAATCAGCAGACGTGCAGAAAGATGAGGTTCTTTTCGTGGTTATTGCATGCGAGTGCATTCTGTCATTCCCATTAATCGAGAAGATAAATTGTACAAATCTTACTAATTCCTTTCTTTTGAATTTGCAACTGACGTCCGTTGCGAATAATAACTTGTATTTAAAGCTGCATCCGACAGACTGTTTCTGGAGAATTCTAGCTTCTCTAAATTCCAAGCTCATGCGCAAATTCTTGGTCACTGATATCGAGAACAAGATTTGAGTCTGAATTCAAGGGTCTGCCAAACTATTTTCTGCTTTGTTGACGTCATTGATGCATCGGTCAGCTGCCTTGTCATTGACAATGCTGCCCTGCTCGACATTTCAGCCTCTATTCTAGGAAGGGCAACAAGTGCATAAAAATTATAACTAGCAAAGTTCCTGGTAACTATCTCGTGAAAACGACGTGAGATTGCAGCTTGTTGACAAACCATCCAAAATCATAATCTTTCTTCGGCAGAAGCCTGAATTATTGAGAAAGTGTAGCCCATGCCTGTACCGTGTATCCTTACAGCAGGATGACAATCCTTATGTACCGATGTGGTTTCGTGTAGTAATGTTCGTTGACACGTTAGCAGGTTGAGCAATTGTTGACTTGAGTATGACAGCTCGCTTAGAAGTGGACGTGGTTTCCTTTGTTTCCTAGATTCTCAAGATACAAACGGAAGTATCGACCTTGATTCCAGAAACTCCATCCTCACCTTATTTGTAAATAATCTAATGGGATCCAGCTTCAGCGTGTCACAGTCTAGGATACTAAAACTCGTACATGAAGGCGGTCATCACCGTTACTACGCATGCAAAGAGCTGACTGACTGATCGAGAGTTCACCAGAGTCGTGAACTAATTGATTTTCTAACTCTCATTTCTCCGCTTCAAGATCGATTCAGCTCAAGTTTGTGTGCTTGTTCCTATGGAATCCAACTCATGTTTAAAATTGTTTTGGATTAATTTCAAATGCATAGCTCCGGAATGAGATTGCTTGTCAAGCACCTTGTTGAGATTGTGGTGAGTGAGACAACCTACCCTTATTTAGTCCTACCACGCTGGCAGGATTAAAATGGCTGAGTGCAGTAAGCAGAATCGCTGAGAATTGTCGCAAGAGTAAATAATTCATATGCTTTGTATTCAGATGAAAATGCAGTTTCAACGATTCCAGACATGGTTGATTTCTAATCAGAGAGTACAACCTCGACTTACACTAATCTGGACCGGAAAGCATAATATGTTTATAGTAGTGTAGATTATGTCTCTAGAGATATTGACCCAAGCAAGAGTTGCGAGTGAAGAGTCCTTAGATATGACGTGCAAAAATTAACACCAAGCTCCATTGTCCTCCCAGAGCAATCCAACGTTAAACCATTCAGATGGATCCAGCTGAGAGAAGGAGGTATGTATATCTACTTCTGTTTAGATAAGCCCCACTCAGCCATATATGTGTTCAAAAAGTTAATATCATGTATGCTGCTGATGTCTTCAAACATCCTTGGCTCCCAGGCTGTTTCAGGAAGCCAAAAGAAGCAAGAACTGTGTTTTTTGTCTAAAGGACGTGGAGCCTCAATCTCTTGTTGACAAGAACACTTGTGTATTGGTTGAATTTCCTCAAATTTAGTCGGAAGCAGATAGCTGTAAAAAAATGAACGGAATGGTGAAGGCTTGCTTATTCCTTTCAAGACACGGATTGTAGCAAAAGGAATTTTCCACAATATAGACTACAACAAAACAGTATGAGATCACATTCAGTATCCTTCTTCAGATATGTTCATAATACATTCAATGAGTAAATTCTTGTTTACACTAGGTCCATTGCTTGCAGTGAAAACCGGCTGTTTGGAATGAACTAGTATTGCAAAAGGTGCTGTTTATCGAAGAGAGAGCTGAAGTCAAAAAATCCTATTGTGTATTACCAAAAGCTTTAGACGAACTCTGCTAGTTTATTGCCCAATATTATCTGAAAACGTATACAATATTATCCATACTGGCTAGTTGTTTTGTAATAATACCGAAACACATCTTCTAATGCCATATAAGGAAACATCAACCAAAAATTGATTACCAAACACAGGAATCTTCAAAACTTGCACGAATTGATCATTTATGACTTTTTGAACTAAATAAATCTTGATCTCCATTTTTTTAGTAAAATTATGAGTACTTACCCTGGGTGCGAACTTACCCGGGAAGTTAGTGTACTACTAGTTTCGATTTTAAAGGGAAGACCGCAAGTATTCATCAAATTTTTTTGACATATTGCAACATATAACAAACTACATGTCGCAATATGCAAACTAGCAACAGCTGATTTAAGGTCTTATTGACACCAATATTCTCAACTCCGTGTTATATTTCTTAATGTTACAAATACCCGATTGCAGATCAGACACACACCATTTCGCAATCAACACAATCTTGTGACTTTCTTCACTGAGAATGAGAAAGCGCATTTACAACGGTATTTATTGAGGAAATAAAAATATATCTTGAGGAATACCCGGCCATCGAAAGATTTCTTCTTTCGTATGGTATATCAAACTTCTATAAATTTTACATGCAGATAGACTAGCTGACTTTCCTATCAACACGACATGGGACAGTTTAGGGTTTAAGAGCACAATAATAAAGAACACAGTTTGTGCTCTCTTACCATACTTTGCTCCAGCATTGAAACATACCCTGAGAGTTCACCACCGACGACCAACTTCATTCTTCAAAACGATTAAGGGCGAAAGCCAACATCAAATGTACCTCAGTTTTGACAATTCAGTGAACGTTAACTGCACAAAAATATCTATAAACTGTATTCGAAATGTATTTTAGTGATTTCTTTCTATTCTTTCTATTCCATCTATATTAAGCCAGTAATCTGGTAATCTGCATGCCTGCACGATATAAGTATGCATTGACAAAGGTTTCGCAAACGACCTGACATCTTAAGATTTGATGTATACAAATGATTCCACATTGAGAGAAACTAAACCATCTGTAATCACTGCACACAAGATACTGAGTCTGTTTGCTCACCTGCTAGACGGCGAAGAATTCTTCACTTTCTTGCCACAAAGAGATCAGTACAGAAGAAGCTATCTGACCTGAATAATCTGAGGTGATACTGGAAAAAGGATAAGCAGGCTTTTTGAAATTCCTGTGATCGTATGAGAAAAAGAATCGCTCGTCACTATCAACAATGGTACATCAGGCTCGATAAGTTGAACTTGAGTGCTAGAACCGGAACTTTAAATTCTTGAGTCAATTCTTTCGAAATGTAGAAGCTCTTCCGGAGGATACTTTCTTTTACTTTGAAATCAGCAATGGATCGATGGCTAGGATCTGTACTTTAATTACCATGTACACCTTTATCTCTAAGTGAATTAAGAAGTAAATGAAGAACAAAAGACGATTGAACAGCTCGCTTGAAGTCCCAGAACCAGATCATGAATAGCAATTAACTCTATTTGCCCAATTCTCGTGTCACCGATCAACACGGGGGCTTAATACATATTTGAAGATTGCAGCCATCTGATACATATTACCGTCTTCAAATATGTACCATCATTGCAGCCAAATCTCTAGTCCTTATTATAGGTTTTAATCCTTTTGGTTATATTACTTGGTACCACCTTTGTATTATTGGCCTGATCCAGTTTAGTTTCTAAATTGAGTGATAATTACATTACGCATCAGGACTAGTACATGAAGAGCATCAGAACTAGTACATGAAGAGAATACGTGTAATGAAATATCAAGCTAAACCCCACAAAATGTACGACACTCGTAGCAGTGGATCAAGTTCAGACCATTTTTGCTAAACTATCCCACTTCCAGGGCGACTTGCATGCCTGGCTTCCAATGTTCTCCTCTACACTAATGAAATCTTCAAGTGATTGGAGAGAGAAAGAAGGATCACAGCAGAATGATCATGTTCGAGCACTCAAAAGACTTGCCTTCATTTTATGCAGAGGGAGATGCATACTTATTTATCTCTCAATTATTCTTCAAGAAACGCCCATCGCATCTTGACAAATCGAAGCCTGAACACTTCGAACCGATCCGTCTTCTTCGGCCTTCCTACTCGAGTCGAATTCCCCGAGTGTCTCGAAATACTTCACCCCATCGTATCATGAACAACGAGGGTCTTCCATCTGTATATCACAGGACTCTACTAGGATCGAGACTTCAGACCTGCTGGTACCATCTGTGCTCTGTATCCCCGAGGATGAACATAAACATCAGCAACGAAATTGCTATTAGTGCTGGCACGAGCAAAGCACAAGATGCGAAAAATTGTGATGAACAAGCTCTAGGGTCGAGGAGATGCAGAAACTTATCAAATCCAGCAGCATATTAACACTGACAACATATTTGTACTGCTTGAGACACGATCTCGACGATGTAGTTCCTTGCAACGAGCTGAAGACAAATGACGCTATCCTCTCTGATCAGAGAGTACATGAGCTTAGCCTTCTAACAGTCTCCAGAATAGAATTCTCCATCGACAGGGCTTTTGGAACTCAAACGCTTTGATTGCCGATACGGATCGTCAGTAATTGCAAGATAAATCGAAAGTTTTCAGGCCATCATGACCAGGCAAACAGTTCGTGTTTTTGTCAGAGATTACAGAAATTCGAGAAGCCTCTTCTCGTGGGAACAGTTTCTCGCTCATGATCGCCAACACTCTTCCGACTTCGAGAGATCGTTCATTCGTCTGAACGCGGCGTCGGAAAAGGTCCCCGGTGGATATAGCACATCGAGTCCAAATGACATCTGCTGCATCCGTGATCGATTCCGGGCTGGATGTCGGCAATGCAGATAAAATTCATTAAAAAGAAGAGGTCACTGTTCGATTCAATCGGTTTAGAGAAGATGCAGGGATCGAGCTGCTGTGCAGATAAACTAAAAAAAAGTGCACTGCATGCAGCAGTGCAGGGAGCGTTAAGCTTTGACGATGGACCGGAAATGACTTTCCCCCGGAGTAAAACATTCCGCAATCAGATTTTATTCCCGCATTATGCCTGGGAAAATCGTCGGGCATGAATCTTTTGCTCCGCTCGTGCTGTCGATGTACTAGCAGTCCAATCAACGCGCACAGATGCCATGCATGGCAGCCTTGGGAGTGCTCATGATCTTGCTTTCAATAATCAACCGTCGGTGGCGGAGCAGAATAAACAATGAAGGAAGCGTCCATCTCGGTAGCTGCGCTTTGACTTTTGCCGAGGACCAGAAACGAGGTCTTCCCCGGCATCTTTACCGCTAACGCTATCGCCGTCGCTTGCCGACTGCGACCCCAGAGCTCCTGCGAGTGCCCATAGTTTAATGGGCGTCAATTTAAAATAGAAGACGTGAAAGCGCTCGGTGCGCTTTTTATAATCATATCGAAGTAGTGAGGTCAATGTCAACACAAGTAACGAGATCCGATTCATATTCCCTGCGGAATCAGAGGAGTCGAGATGGAGTCAGTGCGCCTGTCACCGTGCGCGAGGGGCTCATACAGTCCATGCTTAAAAAATAATTCTACGTACATGTGACATCAGGGCGTTGGAGTTACGCCCTACGACGATTGATGAATCGAGGATTCGCAAAAGATACTACCTTCGAGGAAAATACTACTAATCTACAGGCCCTAACAGTCTTTCTCAAGATCTGTTCTTTGTCTCGCAGAGGAACCTTTTATTTTTGACCCAATTTCTGTTCCCGAAAACATCACATTACTCCGACCGAGCTTCGATATTTTGTCGTTCTTTTTTTTGATTCTCCAGTTTGCGTTCTTCTTTATTGTCCGCATCCGCTTTCCTTCACTCTTCGCCACTGTATTGCCTGCTTTTCATATTAAATTAGGGTTCAGGGTGGAGAACGATGGATAACGCTGCTGCTGTCAAAGGGCACGTGGAGCAGCAATTAAGCTTTGAAAAGCAGGAGGCCAAGCCCAGAGGCAGACCCAAAGGCTCCAAGAACAAACCGAAGCCGGCACCGCCCGTTCATTTAGATGACAATCGCGGGGAAATGAACATCCATTTCTTGGACATTCCACGTGGAGAATTCGTGATCGCGTCCGTGGCTCGATTGGCGAGCAAATTCGTACAGCAGGGCGGGGGCATGTTCGTCGTGGGAGCCAAGGGCTTCGTATCTCGAGTGTCGATTGTGGACATCGAGCAGAACCGCAGGTGCCTGGTGGGCGCTTTCCACATTCTGTCTCTCTCCGGCACCATCGGCTCGGCCCGGAACACGAAATTTACCATCACTCTGGGCGATCAGAAGTTCCAGATCTGGGGTGGAACATTGTTCGGCGATTTTCAAGCCGTTCAAGGATCGGTCGTGGTGAAGGCGGTCTCGTACGAAGGACATCATTCGCCATTCGCCAATTCCCTTTTCTCCGGCGATCACCGTGAAAATGCAGCATGGTTAGGTATCGGCGAAGGGACCAGTCAAGCGCCTTACTATCATTTGCAAGTCAAGTGCAGCCCATTCGTATCTGCCGATGGCTGCAGTATTCCTCCACTGACCCTTCCGCAGGTACTACTGAACGAGCAGTCGAGGAGCACGTGATTTCTAGCCAATCGTACAAGTTGCAATCTTTCTACATGCCTGTAAGCTTGACAAGCAATAGCTGATCGTCGCCCTTCACCATACTTCAATCTCTAGACAGCCACGGAACACGAACGCTTCATTTGCTTTCAATTCTAGATGAGGGTTCGGCAGATTTTCGTCCTTCCACGACTAGGTTTCAGAGTAGAGCCAATCTGCTCGACAGCGTCCTTGCTATTATGATTTCGCGAGTCGGATTGATGTTGCTAGATATGCTGGTTGTCCAGCTCAATAAAGTTCTCTTCTTTCTCCACAAATTCGAGCTCGCCCCCTGCCTCGCGTCGTTCTCTTCGTCGCCTCATTTCCCATCATCATCACCAGAGAGCGAAGAGCGTCCTTTTAGGTCTGAGGTGTCTGTGCGTCGGTCTTGTCCCACAATTGGAAGCAGCTGACAGTCGTGGCGGCAGAAACATTTCCACTGCTCTCTGTAGCTTCTGCGATTAGGACCGACACCGGATCATCGAAATTGCAAGTTCGGTGATCTCTTGGTTGTGCCGAAATCTATCGATGCTAAAGCTAAAGGTGTATAAGAAATGTGTAATTATCTAATTTTCGATTTAAAAGTGTTGATGGTTTGTCATTTCCATTTACTGTCGAAAATCTCTTCTGCCTTGTAATTTTGAGCTCCCCTGACCGACTGGCCAGCCGGTCACCCGAGCTCTTCGTGATCCTAAATTCTCGCCCTACCACTTCCTGCACGACTCGCATAGTTTAGCTTTGCAAGAAACTACGACTGGTTGCGGGTTTGATCGGTCTCTTCGGAGCCTATGCTCCCATGAAGGCGGACACAGGACATTGCAAGCAATGTAGGAAAGATTATGTCTCTGTTTGCAGATTACGTTTCAAGTCTGGAATTTGGGTCTCATGAAATCTGAGAATTATGAGTCCTGTGTTGATTGAATCAGAAGGACAACGGGTGGGGTGAAATTTACAGAAATGGAGGTTATAATTGTTGATCCAGGTACACTGCACGGTTAGCAATTCCCTTGTATAGATACCGGGTGCAACCTTGGTGAAATATCAAGGTGAAATCTCAATACACGTAGTCAGAGTGTATGTTTTGTATTCGTTTGCATTATCTTCATCCTATACCCAAGTGATGTAGCCACATGGATCAAACCAAAGGGAGCTTGAATGTGGTTAGGCCCCAATAGCATGACACTGGATACAACCCCAGTGTCATACTTACTCAGATAATGTTAACTGGTTTAGATCAAACGGTTTCTCCATTACTATGAAGAAGCTAATGTCAGTGAAGCAAGTAATCATGTTATTGTTCTAGAGATCAAAGTGCATAGAAATAACGTCTATATCCTCTCAAACGATTTGATAGAAACTAACTACTGATACTTTGGTGTCTATTACACTTTCAACTTGGTTGTTGTACCTCCACCCGCCATCAAATTAGAAGGATAATCTTCACTTTCATACTAAAAAGCGCATTTCAAACTATGGTCTAAGTAGAATTTGTAACGCAACATCCAACGAAAGTATTTACATTCTTATCTTACGTACAAGGAAGACGATATTTTTTGTTTGAAGTATAACGCTCGTTGTGTGACATAACAAATATAATAATTTTGTAAAAGAAGTAATAATCTATTTCAATTACGATTCTAATATGCCATTTGAATGAGCAAAAATGGATATGACAGTTAGGTAATAACATAGTTACGCATGAATAATAAACATACATATTTTCATAGTAAATGAGTTCAAATTTTTATCATTGAAAAATATAATGCATGACCACATTAATATTTCGTTAGGTTGAATCTTTGTTGGGTAAAAAACCATAAATAAATCTTAAATTATCAAAACAATCACTCTTTATGTCTCAAATATGATGTGTAATAAAATTGAGCTAAAGAAATACATTCAATCTCAAGAAAAATTTTAAATTTTAAGTAATAACATAAAATAAAATATTCATTAAAAAAATAATTTTAAAATTTTCCATTTATTAAAAAAATAATTTAAATAATTTAAATATATAAAAATATATAATTTCCTTATTACTATATTATATTTTCAACTCTAGAAACTAATTATTGCTTAAAAAATTAAAAAAATTGCTTCACTTGATTTTAAAAATGAATGAATGAATTTTTATTTTTCGTTCATACAATTAAAAAATAATTTTTCATTGTTTTTTATTATAAATAAAAATATTATAAAATTAATATTTTTTAAAATATCCATTTTAATATAAGAAATCTTTTATAGTAATAATTCATAATTCTTCAACCTGATTTTTTCATTGAGTATATTGAATTGTGAAATCATATCTTAAAATGAAATTTTCATTAGGTCAAAACTAATTATTTGTAATTATAAATTTTTAATCATAAATAAAATACAAATAATTTTAAAAAAATTCATGTAAAATTTTTTGTTAAATAATAATATAATTTCTACTTTTCATTCATTAAGTGTAGTAACCTTTTTTCTTTTTTTCGCTAAATTTGAAAAAACAACATCAATAAATGAAACACATATGCAATTTTTATATTTTAATTTTAAGGTTTTCAATATTTGAATAACTCTGGAAATTGATATGGATCAAAACTAGACGTAAACTGCATGATACTTATGTAAAATAAAATTGACTTTATAAATAACCTTGAAAAGAAACTCAGAATTGAATATTTAATTTTTGTTGGAAAACTGATACCTATTTAGATCCAATAATGAAAAACTTTTCAAAAGAATTATTCAAATGTCTTGATCGTAGATTTGTTTTAGTAGACATGAAGTGAATATTCAAGTTTATGCTGAAAATATTGTTAGAATTTTCAACTTTGAATGCTCTACACATAGTCTTAGAAATATATTTTTATATATCTCTAAGTTACAGGATATTAGTTATTTACAAGTCATTATTTTAACTAATATGAAATGAAAAATGTTCATATCCAACAAGTTTTATTCTATCATTTATATTTAAAAACAAGAACAAATTTATTCACTCCATTAAAACATAATGATTCTTGACAAGATATATGTTTCAATATGTTGATCAACATCACAGAAATATACTTTGACATTTCATATATCAGGAGTTTACTTATTTCATGTATTCAATGAGAAAACATGAAATATGTAAACTCTTAATATATAAAAAGGTAAGTGCTATAAAATGCTTTAAAACTGCACATGTGAAATTTTCTAAATTGAAACAAATCTAACCTTGTGTGGAACATAGAGATGATAATTTTTGCACTAATGATTTTATCTTGGATTAGGTAATACTTGTAGTTCTTTTACCAAATCTATTGAAAAAAATCAATTTTTTTCATATACTACTTACATTGTGCTCGAACAAAACATTTTCGCATCTGAATTGACCCAAAAAAATCATAATGAAACATGTAGCTTGTAAAGTACAATTAGTTTAGCTTTTCTTCCCATCTTTGACAACACCTTCAATAAAACTTGGCACAACTTGGCGCACTGAGAAGAACGGTCGGTTTAGTTTTCCGTTTCCGGATGTGAACAGAAAAACGGTAAGCTCTCCGTAGTGTGATTTACCTGAAGAATAAGTTTTTTCTAATCTCATGCTGATCATATTCATGAGACACTGGCCCTCATGCTTTACAGTTTCTGAATCTCAGCGAAAATTGCGCTCTGCTAATACTGTGTACTTGGTCTAATAATTATGCAACTTGATTGCACTCTGGTGTTGCATGATGAAAGTGAGAAGATGAGGCCAGTTAATACAACTGCTTGGAAACGTATTACGTTCATTGGTGATCTTCGGGTTATGCATAAAACATACGAACCTCGGTCTGCAGATCAACAATACAAAATGCTGCTCTGGTGGAGGATATTGTTGGGACCCACATGATCCCCAAACTTCGGAACCTCCAACATTAGCAATGTACACCATGAACGCGAAGTACATACAGTGAAGTGCTGCTATATGCCAATGCTGGAGATTGCAATTTATCTATATTCACAATGTCAGTGGCGATGTGTAGTCTGAGACATGTGTCATCTGACACTCCTAGTGTACTTGGAATTTCACAGGCTACTCTGATGAGCTATATTTGTCGCTATTTTCTGTTATCTTACTATTATACTATATATTCTGTTATATTATTTAAAAAATGGAACAGTTAGTTATATTTCACTCAACGCTAATTATTCCTCACCCTAGGTTAAATTTTTTATTTTTAGCATTACTTTCCCCGCTTGTGAAGACTATATGGCCAGGTTGGTTTGTCCAATCTAAAATCTTTCTTCTTAGGGTGAGGCATAATTAACATTAAGTGAAGGATAACCAACCCCTTCCTTGAAAAAACATGATAATACCTCGAATCTAGTCATATGCATTGTGTACTTCACTTTCACCTTGATGTTATTACCATGTGTTTAAAGGTTGAGTAAATTTTTATTTCACTTCAGCAGTCAATGGGTAATCGATGAAAGAGAGTTCAGATTTATGTCTCTCCTTTTCAGCACTCTATTACCATCTGCTTGTGTCATATCTAGATTATCAGGTTTTACTGAATCTTACTAAAGTGAGAAGTGGTGAGGTGAATGTTGTTATTGTTTTGTTTCAGTCAACAGAAAGGAATATTTGATATTATTCATATTAAGGTACATATGGACTACGTGAACTCACGTGCAACCAGATAACAGAATGTGAAGTTGGAGTTTTCATGTAGCCCTTCCATTTGGCCCAGTTTAGGAATGCCAAAGTTGGAGATACACTCGTTCCAAAGCTCGATTCTCGACTGGAAATATGTTTCTTTTAGCGCTGACCTTTCTTTACTGGATTTTACTCTAGAATTGTAAGAAGACACACATTCAGTCATGTTGATGGACAAAAGGACTTATGAAACGAAGAAAATTAAGCTCTGCATAAACTTACAATCCATAAACTACAGTAGTATATTCTGCTTCATAATTCTTCACAGCATTGTAATCATTTTCGAAAAAGTTCCAAGATCTCAAGAGTCCATCATATGCGATGATACGAGTTGCACATCCATTTTTCATTTAGAAGTAAAGAAGTCAAATGTCGTACCAATACATATTCTAATTACATATCAGGACCTTTCTGCAATATGCTCTTTAATGCGATTGTTCGTTGTCTCGTGCCGAGAACTCGTAAGTGTCTCGACTTCGGAGACGACGAGTTCGCTACTCAAATCAGACCTGTGAATCTAATGTGACAGCCGCTAGGACTGTTTGTGATCAAGTTCGAGCCTCGGATTGAAAAACATTCCTGTCCAATACATTAGTCCACGGCCATTCTCATGAAGATGCTTGGGCAGCCAGGTCCAAGTATTGAGGTCCATGTCAAACTTCAGAACTAGAGGACTGTGATTGAGTATCAAACATATATATCTACCTTTTCCAATAGAATAAGTCGAAGTACAGCTAAAATTACTGGAAATCGACTTAGCAAACTCATTAAAAGTGTCCGGTGGCATAGTGGCTATCTCCTCCCAGTTTTTAGCACTATCGTCGAGCATCCAGATCTTGATGCTGGATGCTCTAACTATCCCTACCATTAACAACCTCTCATTGCACTCCACAACATTTACTTGCATCAAGCCTTCAGGCATAGCAGCCTGAACCTTGCTCCAGATGCCACTCTCCAAGTTGTACAAAATAACGTCGCGTGCACATATGGCGTCATCAATTATACCATAGGTGACAGAATAGAGACTGCCCTTGTATTGAAAAAATTTCAAACAAGGGACAAAATCTTCGGGAATGGATTCGGTCATCTTCCAAGAGTCGGTTCTCGAGTCATACACCTCACTACTAAGATCAAACTTGATGTGCCCCCATGGACAGAACCCTCCAGCGACCACGACCTTGAAGGCGTCACCATCTACATCGGCGGGATCTTCCTGCACATGGACAACACCCACTCGAGGCTCCCTCCTCTGCTTTTGCATGGGTGGTAGCTCTCTCCAAGTTCCCCTGAGAGGGTTGCACATATATAGCTTATCAGGGAGGTTTCCAAACTCGCCCTTGCAGAGAAGGTGACTTCCCGCTGATGCAACCACATCAATCCTACCATTCAAATTTGATAAGTTGTCTCTGGGAAGTCTGTACCATTTTTCCAGACAAAAGTCATACGACGATAGGTCTTTAAAACTTCCTTTCATATCGATTTGAACCAAGAGCAGCCAGGTCTCGTTCACACGCTTGCGCTGCTTCCAGTATAGATGATTAAAGGAGACCGAGCTGGTGGCCTGGTACACCCACTTGCTAAGAGTTCTCTGCTGCAACACTCTTACAGGAGGCAAGAATTGCATGGTCTTGACGAACATTTCCGCTGGTAGCTTGCTCCACACGGTTTCATCCATAGCTTCGTCCTTCAATCCTTCGTCCCTTCAATCCTTCGTCCTTGTTTTTACACAGCTGCTTGACTCTGGGGAGGCTCAAGAAATCGGATGTACTGAGAGAAGTGGAAGTTCTGCTCTCCATCTTGCACTTGGCTTCGGCGTAACGAGCGATACATCTTACTCCTCTTTATAGTCTACGAGTTCCCATCTTCCGCTTCCTGGCGCTGTCATCTTGCAATTCGAAACCGGCGGTGGTGCTCTAAACCCCGCGAGCGCCGAAGGAGAAGTTACCAATTATAATTGTACTTCAATTATACAGGTATCCTATTTGTAACCGTTGATACTTATGGAAACATATTCTCCTCTTCAGTTACTTCCGCCGTCATCTTGCAATTCGAAACCGATAGTTACTTCCGTCCGCTTCCATGTTTGATAAAGACGTTAGTTATAAATTCTACGGTGAACGAGAACCTTTTGAGAACGTGATTTTGATCGTGAACTCGGGACTGACTGAAAACGTGATGGATAAATTTTATGATATATAAGGCGGGTGAAATTGGCTCTTTCTCAAACCAATTGAAGCTCCGGTTTCATTTATACACCTGACGGAAATTGTATCGAAGAATGCCAATGACTCGGACTCGTCTCAGAGTAGTTATGGACCCACTTCCACTCCACTCTCAAGACGTTAACAAATAAAGAAGATGGAGATTCTTCTTCTCCTCACTGATTCCATTTTCCTATCAGCCTAGCGATACCTTCACTTGCCAGTTCTTGGGATGAACTATTTTGAGTAATGTCCGAAAGATGCTAGATTGCAAATGGTGTTCATTCACACATACAGATGTCGGCGTTGTTGTGGCATTGAAACTTTGACATCATCAGTAGATGTGGGAGAGATTTGCTTGATGACCCCTGCGGAAAGTAATTTGCTTGATGGTACCCTTCAGGTTTCATTTTACCCTATGGTACACCATGAACGATGCACCGTCACCCATGTTCTAATAACAACTAGAGAGAGTGCAACGAGTCCACCCACCCGCAGACAGAGTGGACTTCGCACTCCATCACACTCACTTGTTTTTATGTTGTCATTCTGTATCCAGCCACTCTCCAAGGAGAGGAGCAAAGAAATGTTCATCCGGAGTTTATTTGTTCGTCACAAATGGGTGATCGTGAGAATTGAGCAGGGTTACGGCAGGAATGTGCAGGTGGGAGGCAACAGAGAAATCCGCGAATCTTTGCGGTGGGAAGAATTGAAGCACAACAAATTGCACTTCGAGCAAAATCGATCTTTGTCCCCGTGATAATCCACCAGAAATTATAATCAGGGATTGATCTCTGATTGTAATTCCAGCATTGTAACTAGTAATAATCGTAGTTACAAGAACTATGTCCGACATCACACCGGCGTTAGGGTCCCATCGGGTAAAACTAAACCTGAGGGGTCCCATCAAGCAAATCTCTCGTAGATGTGGGCCACCGCCCATATCGACGGTTAGGTGCTACTTTGGCCCAGATTCTGTCCAAATATCCCAATCTACGCGGAATCTATTTGAATCAGCCACATGTTTCAGCCGACGGGCTGAAAGTGCCAAGTACAATTCTCTCTCTCTCCCTCTCTCATCATTCTATATTATATACTTATGATCAGTCATGGTTATATTAATCCTTCGTCTAAATTAAGCTAATTTAGTCACATCAAGATAACTCATGTAGTCACTTTTGTGCTACAAACCTAATGAAGTGAAGTGTTTAGAGGGAGACAAAGTTACAGTTGAAATTTAATTTACAAACTCTGGATTACGAAATATCAGATATAAGATTCATTTGCTAATAAATTGATTAACAATATTCAGAACTGAATGGTTGACATCTTACATTCTAATTCTAACCTAATTACAATCTAGACGTTCCCCTTAGTTTAGTCATTAGGAAATCTAAATTTAGTTAATTTAGATTCCCTAATATAAAGTATAAGGTCTCCTAAATTAACCATGACTGATTGTAATATACACTATTATCAATAGCTCTATACCCACAAGAATCAACTCAACTCACCATGCATATTGGATTTCAATGTGTGTTGCAGATTTGTAGAGATTTTCTCGCCCATGTGACTTGGGTATGCATTGAATTCAGACTAAAGTAAGAATATTTAGTTTTAAAGGCCAATCGAAATTTTAAAATATCATAAAACTTAAACAAATCTATCACATATTTTAAGATTATTTTAAGACTATACATTTCAAATAAAAAATACTCTATAATAAATTTGAGCTAATCTGATCGGTTGAAATTATAAAATAATTTTTCAATTATTTCATAATAACATGCGGATGAGTAAAATGTGCATCCGATATGCACAATTTACTAATGTGCATATCGGAAAATGCACATTAGTAAGAAAGAATTTAATTTCACAACACAATGTATAGTCTCTAAATCTGATCACAATTTTACATAATTTTGAATTTTGATTTTCAGACATACATACAGAAATATTGTAGCCTACAAAATATTCATGTTTTATTTGATTTTTGCAATGTAATAATTTGTAACATACATCGATATGAACGTTTGACATTTTACAATAGTAACAAAGAACAAACCAACACTAATGTTAAGAATAAAAGTTTGAATTGTTATCAGATTTGAAATGAAAATAAAAAATTTAATTAACAAAATATTTTTGATAATTATTATTAAAATTATCGAGTAAACCAGCGGATATTTTTGTCAAGATTATGCCATTATTGCCTGCAGCAAGGTTGTTGCAGCAGAGAGCTGTTAGCAAGTCGGTGTACCAGGCCACCATCTCGGTCTACTTTAATCATTTATAAAGTAACCAGCACACCATAGTGAAAGAAGCCTGGCTGCTCTTGGTTCAAGCTGAAACTTGTAAACACTTGACACACTTGACTTTTCTCTGCACAAATGGCACAGACTTCCCCTGGACTTCTTAATAATTGAGGTTTATGTGGTTGCATTAGCGGGAGTTCTTCTTCTCTGCAAAATGTATATCTTCAATCCTCTCAAGAGAACCTGGAGGGAGCTACCACCCATGAATAAGCAGAGGTTGGTGTCTGTAATGAGTGTTGTCCACATACAGGAAGATCCCAACGATCTGGATACTGACGTCTGCAAGGTCGTGGTCGCTTGGGAATTTGAACACATCGTGCAGGATCTTAGCACTGAGGTGTATGAGGACCCACTCTTGGAAGTTTATCAGATTCACGGAAATGAATCCGATAATCTCTCAATTCATTCCCGATGATTCTGACCTGGATTATGGGAGTCTCTATTCTGTCATTTTTTATCCACCTGGTGAAAGTGGCGTTCTTTTTTTCAACTTGGAGAATGGTATCTGGAGCAAAGTTCAAGCTGCTATGACTGAAGTCTCGATGAATACCAGTGTTGTGGATTGCAATGTACGGTTGTTAATGGTGGAAGCAGTTGGAGTGGAACTGGTAGTTCACAACATCAAGATCTGGATGCTAAACGAGAGTGCTGAAAACTGGGAGGAGATAGCGACTATGCCACGTGACACTTTTAACGAGTTTAATAAGTCGAATTCCAGTTGTTTTAGCTGTACTTCGACTTATTCTATTGGAAAAGGTAGATATATATGTTTGATAGGCTATTACAGTCCTCTAGTTTTGAAGTTTGAAATGTACCTCAAGACTTGGACCTGGCTGCCCAAGCATCGTCATCAGAATGGCCGTGGACTGATGTGCTGGATAGGAATGTTATTCAATCCGAGGCTCGAACTTGATCACTAACAGTTCTAGCGATTGTCATTAGATTCACAGGTCTGATTTGAGTAGCGAACTCGTCGTCTCCGAAGTCGAGACACTTACGAGTTCTCGGCACGAGACAACGAAAAATCGCATTAAAGAGCATATTGCAGAAAGGTCCTGATATGAAATAAGAATATGTATTGGTACGAGATTTGACTTCTTTACTTTTACATGAAAAATGGATGTGCAACTCGTATCATCGCATATGATGGACTCTTGAGATCTTGGAACTTTTTCGAAAATGATTACAGTGCTGTGAAGAATTACGAAGCAGAATATACTACTGCAGTTTATGCACTGAAAGTTTATTCAGAACTTAATTTTGTTCCTTTCATAAGTCCTTTCGTCAATCAACATGGCTGAATGTGTGTCTTCTTACAGTTCTAGTGTAAAATCCAGAAGTTTATTCAGAACTTAATTTTGTTAGTTTCATAAGTCCTTTTGTCAATCAACATGGCTGAATGTGTGTCTTCTTACAGTTCTAGTGTAAAATCCAGAGTAGCCTGTGAAATTCCAAGTACACTAGGAGTGTCAGATGACGCATGTCTCAGACCACACATCGCCATTGTCATTGTGAATATAGATAAATTGCAATCTCCAGCATTGGCATATATCAGCACTGCACTGTGTTAGACTCCCGAACTATGTAGGGTTTAGGGTTTTAGGGGTCACGGTGTACATTGCTAATGTCGGAGATCCTGAAGTTGGGGGATCACGTGGGTCCGGTCAATATCCTCCACCAGAGCAGCATTTTGTACATTTTGTTGATCCACAGACCGAGGTTCGTATGTTTTATGCATAACTCGGAGATCACCAATGAACGGAATACGTCTCCAAGCAGTTGTCTTAACTGGCCTAAGTGGCATCTTATCAGTTTCATCATACAACACCAGAGTGCAATCAAGTTGCAAAATTTATTAGACCAAATACACAGTATTAGCAGAGCGCAATTTTCCCTGAGATTCAGAAACTGTAAAGCATGAGTTCCAGTGTTCCAGGCCAGTGTCTCATGAATATGATCAGCATGAGATTAGAAAAAATCATAGTCTTAAGATAAATCACACAACGGAGAGCTTACCGTTCTTGTGTTCACATCCCCAGACGGAATACTAAGCTGAGCGTTCTTTCAGGGCATGGAAAGTACATTGAAAGAGTGTGGTTGAAGAGTATTCTAGCGAGGTTTGCACTTCAGGAGTGCTTGGTTTGTCAGGTTCTTCCTTCACTACGTTTGGATTCAGAAGTATTCAACTGATGTATTTGTAGGGTCTCTCTAGTAAATGAAAGGTTGGTGGCTCTTGTAAGAGAGACATCTGTCCATATAAAGTTAGGGTTGAAGTGTGCACACATTATTATTATATGAATACAAATGTTTTGTTTTATAAAAAAATATATACTTTGATCTAAGTCTAAAATTTAATTTACATAATATAAAAATAAATTTTTAATTTATTAAACAGTTCATTATTTTTTACATATAAATCTTTGTAAGATAGAATGAAATTTACGAAGTTTTTTATTTTGATTAGGATTTTTTTATATATATTTTATAAATGAAAATGAATCATTTAATTTTGGATTTAATTATATATTTTTTTAATTGATAATTAGCTTAAAAATTTGATATAATCTTCAATTGTAAAATACAGGAATCAGAAAAAATTATAAATATTTTCAGACATAAATATTTTTCAAAATATTTTTTTTAATCTGGTATATCAATTATATTTTTTGATCAACTACAGTAAATGTAAATTGCATGCTACTATTTTAAAAAATATATTATTGAAATTTAATGTTATCTTCATAAAATTTACAAAAATTTTATTCTTATTTTCAATTAGAAATGAAGAAATATTTAGAACTAAAATTACAATTTTATCATTGTTGAGATCAATCTCATCGTTAGATATTTTAAGTCAAGACCAATAAAAGAAATTTAAATTTTCTACCCTAGTCATTTAATCTTGGATTTTATAAAAAAGTAATTTAATTTGGAAAATAACTAAAAAAAATTAAATCCAATAAAAAATTCACAATATATGATTGATCTTCATTAAAAATACAAACAATGCAGAGATTCAAATAATTTTTTGATTAAATTGTATGTTTTAAATCTAAACGCGGATCAATTAGGAATAAAAAATAAAGGTTAAAATTTGAATTTTTTATAATTTTGCATAAAACGTCATTTAAAAAAATGTAATATAAAATTTAAGTCTACGGTATTTGATAAAAATAATTTCAGAAAAATTAAATAACAGACAATCATATCATGAAATACAAAATTTCATATTTTTCATTTTGTATTTGATTTTTCTAATTTATAAAATAATAATAATAATACTCGTAATCACTTATTTATGTCTCAAATGTGATGTTAATCGATGTTACTGTATAATAAAATTGTTCAAAGTGCTTGAAGAAGACATGTTTCATCTCAGAAAAATTTAATAACTTCTTGATTGTTTATAAATTAAAAAATTTATAAATTAAAATTTATAATTTTATAGTTTAAGATTTTATTTTAGATATCTGATAAAATAATTAAAGTAATATTACTTGTAAATTTATTGTGAATCACAAAACAAGTCATGTGTTATAAAAATTTCATCAAAAATACTTGATTCATCTATTGTAGATAATATCATAATTAAAATTTTGAAAAGTCTATTTTCAAAATTTTGGAAATTATAATTAATTATAAATTTAGAAAAAACTAAAAATTATTATCATGTTTTTTATTAAATTTTTTCTGTCAAAAGTCTACTCATATTATAGATTTTAAAATTATATTATAGAATTGATATATTAAGAATTTTTAGAAAATATATTTCTTTTTATGTAAGAATTTTTTTTACATATTAAAAAATTATCAATTCTACTACTTGATCCTTTCATTATCCATGGTGAATAGTGAAATTATATTTAAAATCATGTATTACGTTTTTGTAAGAAAAAATTCTTTTTTGAACCTTTCATTCATTATATCTAGTGCTCTTTTTCAGTATTTTTTTTTCACTGAATTTGAAAAAAATAATATTTTTAGATAAAAAATTTATGGAATCGTTATATTAGAATGATTAGGTTTTTAAAAAACTTGGATATTTTTAAAATTCCTCATTAGTGAAGTAATGTAGATCTAAATTGCATCATACTATTTTTAAAGAACTGTTAATATTTTACATTAAAAAATATAGGTTTCAAGAACTACATAGTTAATCTGAATTATAAAATTGGTGAATATTTTAAATTACAAGATATTCATTAATTTTACTGATTGTCTTTAACTAACATGATATGAAAAATGTTAATACTCATCATGTTTATCATTTTTTGTCCTATTATTTATTTTGGATAGAAGAACAACAAGATTCATTTTGTGAAAACACAATCATTCTTGACAAGATATATGTTTCAATGCGTTGATCTATATCACATGGATCTAAATTTTTACATTTCATGTATTGAAAGTTAACACATTTCATGCCTTCGATAATAAGAATTGCATTCTTTCAGGGTGATTCAAAGTTTTATTGAAAGTCATGTGAAGGACAGACTGAAAACCTAAACCATATGTACTTAACAAGCTACAAGTTTTTTAATAAAGTTCACTAATGTTCTAATGTTCGTCTCCAGATGTGAACATGAAAACGGTAAACTCCCTGCAGTGTGATTTACCTGTAGAATATGATTTTTCTAATCTCATGCTGATCATATTCACGAGACACTGGTCCTGGAACACTGGCACTCATGCTTTACAGTTTCTGAATCTCAGGTAAAATTGTGCTCTGCTAATACTATGTACTTGGTCTAATAAAATATGCAACTTGATTGCACTCTGGTGTTGCATGATGAAACTGATAAGATTAGGCCAGTGAAGACAACTGCTTGGAAACGGATTATGTACAATGGTGATCTCCGAGTTACGCATAAAACATACGAACCTCGGTCTGCAGATCAACAAAATGCTGCTCTGGTGGAGGATATTGTTGGACCCACGTGATCCCCCAAATTCAGGATCTCCGATATTAGCAATGTACACCATGAACGCGAAGTATATACTTTGGAAGTACATACAGTGAAGTGCTGCTATATGCCAATGCTGGAGATTGCAATTTATCTACATTAACAATGTCAATGGCGATATGTAGTCTGAGACATGCGTCATCTGACACTCCTAGTGTATTTGGAGCACACAGGCTACTCTGATGAGCCATATTTGTCGCTATTTTCTGTTATCTTACGTTGCGTTATCTTATTTAAAAAAGCATGATAGTACCTCGAACCTAGTACATTACAGAGACCGAGCTTTTGTGTTTGTGGGATCTGCGTTGTGTGCTTCACCTTCGCCTTGATGATACTACCCTGTATATAACGGTTGAGTAAATTTTTATTTCACTTCAGCACTCAATGGGTAATCGATGAAAGAGAGTTCAGATTTATGTCTCTCCTTTTCAGCACTCTATTACCATCTGATTGTGTCATATCTAGATTATCAGGTTTTATTGAATCTTCCTAAAGTGAGAAGTGGTGAGGTGAATGTTGCTCATTTTTTGTTTCAGTCAACAGAAAGGAATATTTGATATTATTCATATTAAGGTACATATGGACTACGTGAACTCACGTGCAACCAGATAACAGAATGTGAAGTTGGAGTTTTCATGCATCTTCGATAGAAAAGATCAGTAGCCCTTCCATTTGGCCCAGTTTAGGAATACCAAAGTTCGAGATACACTGGTTCCAAAGCTCGAATCTCGACTGGAAATATGTTTCTTTTAGCGCTGACCTTTATTTACTGGATTTTACACTAGAAATGTAAGAAGACACACATTCAGTCATGTTGATCGACAAAAGGACTTATGAAACGAAGAAAATTAAGTTCTGAATAAACTTACAATCCATAAACTACAGTAGTATATTCTGCTTCGTAATTCTTCACAGCATTGTAATCATTTTCGAAAAAGTTCCAAGATCTCAAGAGTCCATCATATGCGATGATACGAGTTGCACATCCATTTTTCATTTAGAAGTAAAGAAGTCAAATCTCTTACCAATACATATTCTTATTACATATCAGGGCCTTTCTGCGATATGCTCTTTAATGCGATTGTTCGTTGTCTCATGCCGAGAACTAATAAGTGTCTCGACTTCCGACGAGTTCGCTACTCAAATCAGACCTGTGAATCTTATGACAGTCGCTAGAACTGTTAGTGATCAAGTTCGAGCCTCGGATTCAAAAACATTCCTTTCAAACTATGCTTGGGCAGCCAGGTCCAAGTCTTGAGGTCAATGTCAAACTTCAGAACTAGAGTACTGGAAACGCCTACCAAACATATATATCTACCTTTTCCAGTATAATAAGTCGAACTACAGCTAAAATAAGGATTAAACCCATTTAACTTAATAAAATCTTTAAAAGTGTCCCGTGGCATAGTCGCTATCTCCTCCCAGTTTTTAGCACTATCGTCGAGCATCCAGATCTTGATTCTGAGAATTGTAAATACCCCAACCATGAACAACCGGCCATTGCACTCCACAAGTTTCATCGAGCCTTCAGGCTTAGCAGCCTGAACCTTGCTCCAGATGCCACACTCCAAGTTGCAAAAAATAACGCCCCCATAAATGAGAGAATAGAGACTACCCTTGTATTGAATAAATTCCCAATCAATGCCAGAATTTACGAATATGGGTTCGATCATCTTCCAAGAGTCGGTCCTCGAGTCATACACCTCACCGCTAAAACCGCTTTCCCGAAATTTACCTCCAGCGACCACGACCTTGAAGGCGTCACGACCTACATCGTTAGGATCTTCCTGCACATGGACAACACCCACTACAGTCTTCCACCTCTGCTTCTGCGTGGGTGGTAGCTCTCTCCAGGTTCTTGTGAGAGGGTTGCACATATATAGCTTATGAGAAGGCTTGGATTCGCAAAGAAGAAGACCTCCCGCTGATGCAACCACATCAAACTCGATTCGTAAGTTGACCATGGGAATTCTGTGCCATTTTTCCAGACAAAAGTCATACGCCTTTATGATTTTAAAAGTTTCCTGTATATAAGTTTGAACCAAGAGCAGCCAGGGCTTGTTCACACGATTGCGCTGCTTCCTGTATAGATGATTAAAGGAGACCGAGCTGGTGGCCTGGTACACCCACTTGCTAAGAGTTCTCTGCTGCAACAGGCTTGCAGGAGGCAAGAATTGCATGATCTTGACGAACATTGCCGCTGGTAAATTGCTCCACACGGTTTCATCCATAGCTTCGTCCTTGGATCCTTCGTCCTTGTTTTTACACAGCTTCTTGACTCTGGGATGGCTCAAGGAAACGGACGTACTGGGAGAAGTGAAAGTTCTGCTCTCCATCTTGCACTTGGCTTCGGCGTAACGAACAATACATCTTACTCCTCTTTATAGTCTACGAGTTCCCATCTTCCCCTTCCTGTCGCTGTCATCTTGCAATTCGAAACCGTTAGTTACTTCTGACCGCTTACGACGTTAGGCCTAAGTTATAAATTCCACCGTGAACGAGCGTTTGAGAACGTGATTTTGACCGTGAACTCGGGACTGAGTTAAAACGTGATGGGTTTAATGATATATAAGGCTGTGAACTTTGCTATTTCTCACATCAATTGAAGCTCCAGTTTCCTGCATACACCTGACGGAAATTGTATCGAAGAATGCAAATGACTCTGACTCATCTAAGAGTAGTAGTTATGGACCCACTTCCACTCCACTGTCAAGACGTTAACAAATAACGAAGATGGAGGCTCACTGGCTCCAGTTCTTCTTCTCCTCACTGATCACTGATCACATTTTCCTAGCAACCTAGCGATACCTTCACTTGCCAGTTCTAGGGATGAACTATTTTGAGTAATGTCCGAAAGATGCTAGATTGCAAAAGGTGTTCAAAAAAGCCATGCATGATCATTCACACATACAGATGTCGGCGTTGCTGAGGCATTGAAACTTTGACATCATCAGTAGATGTGGGCCACCGCCCATATCGACGGTTAGGTGCTACTTTGGCCTAGATTCTGTCCAAATATCCCAATTTACGCGGAATCTATTTGAATCAGCCACATGTTTCAGCCGACGGGCTGAAAGTGCCAAGTACAGTTCTCTCTCCCTCTCTCATCACTCCATATTGTATACTTATGATCAGTCATGGGTATATTGGTCCTTCGCCTAAAGTCACTATTGTGCTACAAACCCCCTTGAGAACTAGTGAAGTGTTTAGAGGGAGACCGAGTCATTACAGTCGGGTTATGAGAAAATTTAATTTACAAACTCTGGATTACGAAATATTAGATATAAGATTCACTTGCTAACCAACTCAAACAATCATCACAACTGAATGTTTGAGATCTCACATTCCAATTCTAACATAATTACATTCTAGATGTTCGGTTAATTTAGTCATGAGAAAATCTAAATTTAGTTAGTTTAGCGCCTCGGTATAATGTCTCCTAAAATAACCTTGACTGCTTATTATATAAACTATTATCAACAGCTCTATATTCACAAGAATCAACTCAACTCACCATATATTCTGGATTTCATTGTGTTGAAGATTTGGAACACGTTGGTGGAGATTTTTTCGCCTGTGTGTCTCAGTTATGCATTGAATTCAAACCAAAGTAAGAATATTTTTTGTTAAAAGTCTAATCGAAATTTTTGAACATCATAAAATTTAATTAAATCTATCATATATCCTACGATTATGATTATTTCAAAAAAAATATACATTTTAAATAAAAAATAATATATAATAAGAACAAAGTTGAGCTAATCTGATTGGTTAAAACTGAAATAAAATTTTTATGCATATTGGAAAATGCACAAAAGTAAGAACGAATTTAGTTTCACAACACAATGTTTTATCTCTAAATCTGATCACAGTTTCACATTATTTAAATTTTGATTTTCAGACATACATACAAAAATATTGTAGCCTACAAATACTCATGTTTTATTTGTTTTTTTGCAATGTGATAATTTGTATAATACATCAATATGAACATTAGGAATTTTGCAATAGCAATAAAAAAACAAACCAACACTAATTTGAAGAATGAAAGTTCAAATTCTTGTCAGGTTTGAAAATCAACAAAAAAATATTCTCAATAATTAATATTTAAATTATAGAACAAATCGGTCATGCATTACAATGTTTTATAATCTAAAGTAATTTCAGAGTATGTATACTTGTAAATACAAGTATACATACTCTTTGTTTGGTACAATGAACAATATATAAACTAAAATCTTATTACATATCATTACATTTCAAATGAGTATCTGTTGATACTCATTAATTAAAAAAAGCATGAATGGTAACACTTAGTATGTGTGAAAAAAGTAAAAAAAATTCATGTTTAAAGATTAGTGTGATATATATCTTTTGAAATGATGAAGAAGTTGTTGAAGATTATACTTATATTATAGATTACATAAATTAAAATGATAAACATTTAATGCAAAAATATAAAACATCAATTTTTTGCATGTAACATAACAAAATGAAACAAGAAGCAATTTCATTAAAAATTTGACTTAAAAGTTAGACGTCGGTAACATTTTTCTAATGAATATATTTAAAATATGGGATAAATCTTAAATAGAATTCAAAAATTATTCAAACTATTTAATCATGAAAAAAATATTTAATATGTATACAAATACTAGTAAAAATTAAAAATCTTAAAAGTCTATGTCCATGCTAAGAAAAGTCACGTAAGAAAATAAATGGAGTAAAGAATATTTTTATTGATGCATTAGGTTTTTTATTTTATCCATAGCATTAACTAAATTAGCATAAATCTTAGTAATATTGAGCCAAATCCCTGTATACAAAGTGGTTATTATTGAGGTTAACTCCGGTGAAGGAGTAACCTCATGTTATAGCTATTTATAGCTAGGTGTGTCGCTGGCTTTGGGTATAAATATACCCCCAAGGCCAAGGCTTCTTCCTGGAGCATAATTGTGTATTCACCTTCTGAGTAAACTCTCTAGCGTGTTTGAGACGTGGACGTAGCCCTTGAGAGTGAACCACGTTATATGAGTGTCCAGTGTGATTCTTGTGTGATTCGTACTTGGCTTTAGGTGAACCACGTTATATGAGTGTCCAGTGTGATTCTTGTGTGATTCGTACTTGGCTTTAGGTGAACCACGTTATATGAGTGTCCAGTGTGATTCTTGTGTGATTCGTACTTGGCTTTAGGTGAACCACGTTATATGAGTGTCCAGTGTGATTCTTGTGTGATTCGTACTTGGCTTTAGGTTTTACGTTAAGAAATGGTATCAGAGCTGGCTTACGATTCGGAAAAGGTTTCAGTTTTTGTTTGGTGTTCTGTGACTTACACGTACAGTGAAAAACCCGTGTTAAATTCTGTTAGTTTGTTAATAGAAGAAACTTTCAATTTTTTGTTTGTGTTAGAATTCTGTCAAGAGTTTTTTGTAATCTCAGAGTTTTTCCAGAACTCGTAGACAGTTTTGCAGGTTTTTTTTTGTTGTTTTTCTTTCTGAAAATTGTTGATAGAAGAAACTTTCAGTTTTTGTTTCAGTGTCAGAAATCTATTGAGAGTTTTTTGTAGTCTCAGAGTTTTTTTCAGATTTCTGTAGACTGTTTTGCAGGTTGTTGTGTTTTCTTTCTGAAAATTGTTAATAGAAGAAACTTTCAGTTTTTGTTTCAATGTCAGAATTCTGTCGAGAGTTTTTGTACTCTCAGAGTTTTTTCAAAACTCAGTAGACAGTTTTCAAGGCGTGGGTGTAGACAGTGATGGAATGTTTTAGTCATGTCTATATAAGTTGTTTACTCTGATTGAAGCATTTGTTGTCAAGTCGTTTAATGTTTAGTTTAGTTTGGTATCAGAGTTTTTCACTGATGGTGTGTATAGTGAAAATGATTTCAACTTTTACTAACCGTTGTTAAGTTTCTATGCAAAGTTCTGACAGTTTTCAGTAACAGTATGTCTTCGGCGGGGCATTCTGGGAGTGAGAGACAGGGATCAGGAGAGAGAGACAGAGAGAGGGAGATGCGAGTCTTTGTCTCATACTTTTTGGCTTCCTTTGCTGGTGTTGCTGCTTCCGATCCTGCTCTTTGCAGATCTTGGCACTCACGGTGGGACACGAGGTGCTGGTGGCAAGTGTAATAACCCACCAAAGGCTAAAACTGCAGTATGGTGGTAAAAAGATCGAACCCACAGGGACAGAGGCAACACACAGATTAAAAGTGTCACGTTTAACAGACTTTTGTAGAGTTTTGAATTCTCATGCGACTGTCACTCCCAAAAATACTGCAGTGCTCGACTCGGAGCCACTCGGAGGATGCTCGACTCGGATGTCACTCGGAGGATGCTCGACTCGGAGGATGCTCGGAGGATGCACAGCGCAGCGTAGTCACTCAACACACACACACACACACACACACTTGAAACTGGCAAAAGCACAACTCGGAGGTCGGTCAGGACCTCCGCTTCGGATTTCAGGGGGAAAGTAGCTCAAAGGTTCACTCAGAGGCTCTGCAGGTAGTGACTCCCACTCCGGCTTTTACTGCCCTTCCGCCAGGAACTAGCGTAGGGAACCCGGACTGGACTTCCCACTTCGGATCGAAGTCCCTCATACGCCGTGGACGTCACCATCGACTCACACCAAACGCAGAGAGTACAGGCCCGACTGAGAACTCAACTGAGACACAATCCAGTAACACACACACACACAACCTGAATTGCAAACCAAGGCTTACACGAAGTAATAAAACTTCACTTTGGCATTCAGGGGAAACTTCCCGTAGAAGTACAATCAGGATATGTCACTCGAAGGAGTAAGGGGGAACTGTTCAAGTCTCTAACTCGCAGCCGGCTCTGAGCATCAGAAATCACCCGCAAGTGCAGATCCGCACTACTCAAGTCTCTAACCGGGTACTAGCTCTGAACATTCAGCCGAAGGCCTTCAGCTACAACATACGGTAACTTCGCTATGCTGCAGCTTCTCTACGTGGTGCCAGGACCAAATGCACAAACACGCCAAGAAAGTGAGTTCCTGATCTGCACTTCCGAAACTGGAAGAGTCCCAAGGCAAAACGCCTTGATCTACTTTATACCCTCTAAGGTCCTAACTAACACTACGCTATCCTATTTGCTACTTGCAACACCTGCACGAAACCAAACTACGCTACTGCACTCTGCAGATCCGGTGCTGCGCCTCCTGCGCGCCGGACTGCCTCGCTCTCTATCTCTACCTTGCCAATCTTCCGACCGGCTGCGCAACCCCAGTCGCCGAAGGGCTGTAGTCACTTCCGACTCTAAGTGCGCCATAGTGTCGCGCGCACCCGACAAGAAGGCTTCTAATTTCCTTGCTACTCGCCGCCGACTCCGACTGACACCCTCCGTCAATGCCGCCGCCCGAAGCTCAAACTCCCTGAGTGTGATCTTCTCTTGAGCTGCCACCTCCC